TGTCTTCTTTTATTAGTGTATAGAGTCCACATCGGTTAATTAACCACAGCAGTTAATTTTATTTAGTTAGTTAACTATGACAGTTAGTTAGTTCCATACTTAGTTAGTCTGTTATTACAATTTGTTCAGTTTAGTCCTGATACTGATATATACGTCAGTTACATTGTATTTTCTACTTACTTGATTCAATTGATTTTACAATGAGAATTTTCTTTTACAGTAAAAGCTTTCTGTTTCCTTTTGTAATATGGTATCAGAGCTCATTCTGAGTTCTGGTATTCATTGTCTTCATTTCTTACATTCGTTTCTTTCTTCCGTTCTTGTTATTGATCTCTTTGGAAGAAAGCTTCAACATGGAAGCTGCATACCAGAACCCACGTCCCTTACCAGAATACCTGACGAATCCGTCAAGTCCCTACTACCTACACCCAAATGAGAATCCTTCCCTGGTTCTTGTTTCCCCTGTTCTTGATAAAAAAAAATTATCATCCCTGGATTAGAGCCATGAAGATGGCATTAAAGTCGAAGAACAAACTGGGTTTTGTTGATGGTTCCATCACTGCTCCGCGAGAAACTGATCCTTTGTTCTATGCATGGGATCGCTGCAACACTACAGTTTTATCTTGGTTGCATCATTCCATTGCAGACTCAATTGTTCAATCCATAGTATGTGCTGAGTTAGCATCAGAAGTATGGAGGGACCTTCATGAGAGGTTTTCCCAATCAGATGTGTTTCGTATTGCAGATCTTCAAGAATACCTGTTTCGTATGTGCCAAGGTGATTGCACTATTTCTCAATATTTTACAAAATTGAAAACATTGTGGGATGAGCTAGACAGTTTGCAGCCATTACCCAAATGTAATTGTAACCCAACTTGCCTTTGTGGTAATCAAATGCAAAATCTAGCTCGTGTTTGTAGAGAGAAAGATCATGTAATTCGGTTTTTAAGGGGTCTCAATGAGCAATTCTCACATGTGAGATCACAAATAATGCTTATGGATCCCTTACCGAGCATGAATCGAGCTTTATCTTTAGTGGCTCAACAAGAAAGGCAGTTCACTGCTGGTGCTGCTGGTGTTAATCTTGATGTGAAGGCTTTTCTGAATGCTCATGAGCAGAATTTTAATCGAGGCAACAATGCTCCAATGAACAATCAAGAACAAATCTTTAATCGTGGATATGTCTCCCAAAGAGGTAGAGGGAGAATGAATTTTGGAAGAGGAGGAAGAACAAATACTTCAAGACTATGTACTCATTGTGGAAGATCTAATCACACAATAGAAACCTGTTTTGAGAAACATGGTTACCCACCTGGCTTCAAAACCAGATTTCCAAGAAAAGAAAATATGGCTTCTCATGATGATAATGATCCTTTCAGTTTTGAACCAGAGAATGAAACTGCAGAATTTGATGCTAACCAATTTCAATTTACAAAAGAACAATATCAAAGTCTCCTTGGCTTGTTACAGAATCCAAAGCAAGAAGACATACATAAGTCTAATTTGGTTCAGGTTAATACAGCTTCTTTAACTCCAGGTAATCCTCATCCACAATGGATCCTTGACACTGGTGCAACCGATCATATAGGTCACCAAAATTTTCTATTATCTTCCCTTCGAAATATTAAACCGGTTTCTGTCACACTACCTAATGGTACTCAGGTATTAGCCACTCAAACTGGCAGTGCTTACATTTCTCCCTTCCTCACATTGCACAATGTCCTTTTTGTTCCTAACTTTCATGTAAATCTTATATCTGTTGCCAAGTTAATCCATGATTCAAGTTGTCATGTGATTTTCCATTCACAAAGTTGTTCTATCTTGCAGAACAGTACCTTGAGGATGATTGGTTCAGCTAAATTGGATAGAGGACTCTACATTCTCAACTTCAATAAAAACTCGAATAGATATTGCTGTTCTGCTACTAATTCTAGCTCATCCAAGTTATGGCATCTTCGACTTGGCCATTGTTCTCAATCTGTTTTGTATAAAATGTCTACTGTTTTTCCTTTCATATCTTGTAAAACTGATTCTGAACCTTGTGACATATTTCACTATTCTAAACAAAAGAAATTTCCTTTTTCCTTCTAGCAATTCAGAATCTTTACATCCTTTCAATATGATGCATGCATCGATATATGGGGTTCATATGCAACCCAATCTATTCATGGACATCGTTATTTTCTAACATTGGTAGATGACTACTCACGTTTCACATGGGTAATACCAATGAAAGCCAAATCAGAAACAAGACAACACATACAAAACTTTGTGTCTCTTGTCCAAACACAATTCCACATCACCATTAAAATTTTTAGAACAGATAATGGCACTGAGTTTGCCATGACAGAATTTTTTAAAACTAAAGGGATACAACACCAAACTTCTTGTGTAGAATGTCCCCAACAAAATGGGATAGTTGAACGAAAACATCAACATATATTGAATGTTGCTAGAGCTCTCTTCTTTCAATCTAAAATTCCTAAGTCATATTGGACCTATTGCATCATTCATGCTGTACACATTATAAACAGATTGACCACTTCATCCTTACATCATAAAACACCTTATGAACTCTTATACAACACACCTCCCTCTTTTGATCATTTAAAGGTCTTTGGTACACTGTGTTTCATTTCCACCCTCTCACAGCATCGAAGAAAATTTGACAATCGAGCTAAGCAATTTGTTTTCCTTGGTTACAAAGAAGGTACAAAAGGATACATTGTTCTTGACTTAAACACAAACGAAATCCTTACTTCCAGAAATGTTATTTTCTATGAAAATAATTTTCCATTCTCTCAAATCAACATTGATTTCAATCCTTCAGTTTCGGTAATGCCCTTATCAAACACTGATCTCAGCATTGACTCTATGCTGCCCACATATAATGAACCAATTATTCCATCTACACCAAACCTTCGTAGATCAACTAGAATTAGAGCAGCACCTCAATATCTAGAAGAGTTTCATTGCAGTCTATCCAGTTTAGCTGACACCAAAGCATCTTCAGGTATGTCATCTTCCCCTTCTTATCCTTTATCTGATTTCCTATCCTACAATAACTGTTCTAAGCCTTATACGGTTTTCTGCAATAATCTTTTGATTGATACTGAGCCAAAGAACTATAAACAAGTTGTTGTTGTTCCTTGCTGGCAAAAGGCCATGGAGGCTGAATTACAAGCTTTAGACAGAAATCACACATGGGAGTTGGTTGAATTGCCTATGCATAAACAACCCATTGGTTGCAAATGGGTGTACAAAATTAAAAGAAAACCAGATGGTTCTGTTGATCGTTATAAAGCACGCTTGGTTGCAAAGGGTTACACTCAATGTGAAGGTGTTGACTACTTTCAAACCTTTTCACCAGTGGCCAAGATGACCACTATTCGATTGCTCCTTGCTTTGGCAGTTGCTAGGAATTGAAATTTGGAACAACTTGATGTTGATAATGCTTTTCTTCATGGTGAACTACATGAAGAGGTTTTCATGAAACTTCCTCCTGGTCTCTCTTGTAGCTCACCCACCATGGTTTGTCAACTCAAGAAATCTCTTTATGGATTAAAACAAGCAAGTAGGCAATGGAATGCCAAACTCACTAGTGCTCTCCAAGGTCTCGGTTATATTCAATCCATGGCTGACTACTCTCTGTTCACAAAGAAAATTGCTACTTCCTTTACAGCCTTACTGGTGTATGTTGATGACCTTGTGCTGACTGGTGATAGCATGGACGAGATTATTCATGTCAAATCTTCCTTACATAATCAGTTTCGTATCAAAGACTTGGGCCAATTGAGATTTTTTCTTGGCTTGGAAGTAAGTCGATCTAAACGTGGTCTAATATTAAATCAGCGCAAGTACACTTTGGAATTACTTGCTGATTCAGGTAATCTTGCTGCTAAACCAGCTTCGAATCCTCTCACTCCTTCACACAAGCTCAGTCGTGATCAAGGGGATCTTTATTCTGACCCAGAAGGATATCGCAGGCTAGTTGGCAGATTGTTATATCTCACTACCACTAGACCTGACATCACTCACTCAGTACAACAGCTTACTCAATTTATGGCTTCACCTACCCAAGCCCATTACATAGCTGCTTGTCATGTTTTACGCTATCTCAAGACTCCTCCCAGCAAAGGTCTATTCTTTCCTGCAGATAACTTTCTTTCTCCTTCTGGTTTTGCTGACAGTGATTGGGCTTCTTGTCCAGACACTCAAAAATCCATCACCGGATTCTGCATCTTTCTTGGTTCATCTCTCATTTCCTGGCGATCGAAGAAGCAGAGCACGGTTTCACGTTTTTCTTCTGAAGCTGAATATCGTGCCCTTGCTGCCATCACATGTGAACTTCAATGGCTGGCTTATCTATTTAATGATCTTCATGTTCCCTTGCTTCACCCAATCCCAATTTACTGTGACAATCAATCTGCAATACACCTTGCACAGAATCCCACCTTTCATGAAAAAAGTAAACACATTGACATTGATTGTCACATAACAAGGGAGAAAATAACAAGTGGTCTTCTCAAACTACTGCTCATCGCCACTGCACATCAGCTTGCTGATGTTCTAACCAAGTCTTTACACCCAGCACCTTTCAGGGAGAATGTTTCCAAGTTGGGACTCATTGACATCCTACTCCCAACTTGAGGGGGGTATTAGTGTATAGAGTCCACATCGGTTAATTAACCACAGCAGTTAATTTTATTTAGTTAGTTAACTATGACAGTTAGTTAGTTCCATACTTAGTTAGTCTATTATTACAGTTTGTTCAGTTTAGTCATGATACTGATATATACGTCAGTTACATTGTATTTTCTACTTACTTGATTCAATTGATTTTACAATGAGAATTTTCTTTTACAGTAAAAGCTTTCTGTTTCCTTTTGTAATATCTTTTGTCAATATAACCTCAAATTGGCCCCCTTCTAATTCCAACATCATTTGCTGATCCTTAGAAGAATCTAGTTGGGATGAGGTGATTGGTCCTACTTGCGTAATTATAGTGTTATTACTGTGGAATACTTTATATCAATAAACAAAGATAATGTCAGCTTAAGTCATACATCATTGATCATTATCACTACTATCTTTGAATTGAGGGACAAAAACTGGGGACAAACCCTTGCATTCTCCTAATTCATGATTTCAAAAACAATCAGCTACAGTGATCCAGGATCTTCGAGGATCACCTTATGTCCCAGAAATTAACCTAGACAACTAATAAAATTGACAGAGTTGTTCTAAAAGCTCTTCGAAGCAAAGCAAGCTAGATTGACGGAAAGGTACTCAACCACGTACCCTATAAATCCCCTGCTTCCAATTTGCTTATCCCCTCTTCCAACAGCATTCCTTGATAACGGCATTCATGGCTGCAAAATGCCCTCTCACCCCTGAAATACAAGCACACAAACTACACTGAAAAACTATTTGGATTAATTACCACACATATTTTCACTTAATTTGATTCATAATTGGTCTTTTTATCCAAAAACAAAATCATTAACTGACAATACTAAATTCAAAAGTTTCCAATATTGTCATCAGTTTATATAACCAATGGATAATCTCTTTTTTTGAAATGGTAACTTTGGTTTAGGGGAGGGGTGGAATGGTTATTGAGACATGGGCAATAGATGGAAGAACGAGAAAATGATTCAGAATTTTATATCCATTATGATAATAATATCAAATTTCTGCCATATGGTTGGAAGCCAAGGCAAAAAAGGAGGGAAGCAATGTAAAACTTCAGTGATTTTATATGAAATAGATCCAGTGATCAACAACACAATACAATTATGGTATCATATTAAATTTAATGCATAAAACTATTAAAGCTATACCACGTAGTTTATCAGAGATTAAAATTTCTACTCCGTAAAGGGGCCAAATTTACTGTTAATTCACATGTATGTATCTGTGCCTAGAATATTAACATAACATTAATACCAATCAGGGTTTACGGGGATAACAAATAAGTGAGTACCTGTACATGTAGATGTCTATACCCTGCCCAAGATTCTTGTTGCAGTAAAAACAGAAGCTCAAGAAGCTCTCAGAGGGATAGCTGATGGGATCAGGAAGAAACACACTTTCCATGGCAGAAGAAGAGCATCCAACATCAAAGCAGCTACTCTCAACTATGCAGTTATCAAATATGTGAGTAGTTCTTGGGTTAGGCCCACGCGAAATCACGCGAGTGTAGTCCTCAGAGAGCTCCATTTCACTAGCAGAGAGACACTCAATGAGAACTCTAGGAGTTTTGGAGGTTTCAAGGGCGGAATTAGTAGCAGACACAAATGCTGATTTCCCCAATTGAAAATTTCTCACCTTTATACCGAAATCAGCTGTGGACTTAGGTGATCGAGATGGAGAAAGTGTTGCATGAGGCAGGGAAGGAATCTGAATCTTAAGCTGAGATCCAAATAGAATCAACCTGCTTTGTGATTTTGATGTTATTTCCCCTGCAGGTTTGTCATCAACAAGAGCATCAACGAGGCCTTTTGAATCCAATTGATCCCAATAACGCTTGTGTTCACCAACGGTGGTGGTTCTGGGGCTAATTGTTTCTGACCAAAAAGAGTTTTTGAAGCCACTGAAAGGCTTAGTGTCGAGGATAGAAGTTGGGCTCATCATAGCCTCGGTTTCATTCAACACTTTTGAAGTGAAATTGGTGAATAGCCTTGGAATATTGAAGAAAGTTGACGTGGGTTTCTTGTAATATTCTGCAAGGGATGGTGAGGAACCAGAATCTGCCATCAGAATCAGAGCTTGTCAGTCAATAGAAGCTGCTCTGGATGGATCTCTTCATCACCACCGCTGTTTACTTTTAAGCTACACTGAATACCACCCTCCAAAAAGTTAGAACATTCTTGCTTGCTTATACAAGTGTGAGTGCGTGCGCGCGCGCGCGTGTGAAAGAGAGATTGTAAGAATCACCTGAAAGGAAACTACTGACATGTGTTTGAGCCTTCACTGCAGTATTAGAGGCTGAACTTTTGAAAGCTTGTAATACAGTCTAGGCAAAGCTACAGTCAAATCAACCATTATGTGAAGAGTCCGAAACCAGTAATTGGAAAAAAAGTTTCCAAGAAACCCCTCTCTCTCTCTCTCTCTCTCTAGCCCTTTATACCTCTGTAACCTCCATTACTAAACCACTGAGAAAATTGGTGGAACAATACAAGAGGGAAAAAAGAAAAACTATGTAGGAATTGTCACCTTTTCCCCTCTCTTCACCTGTCACTGAGAATAGAATCAGACATGTGCTAAACAAGGAACGACATGCAAATAGAGGTCAGTGGTCATGATCAAAGGACCAGGCATGCATGCATCAGCATCACACAACAGAAATAAAGGAGGAGAGTTATTAGTTTTGTTCCTTCTTTTTGGTGCCTTTCAATTTTTTGCATTTGTGTCTCGGACTAGAAGCACCATTATTTCGCACTGTATTTGGTCAAGCCAATCAAATGCACAAAGTCAAGACCCACAAGAGTGAAACCAAAACTGGTCCCAAAAATCCCATTTCAGCACCAAAACAGAAAAGGCCAAATAATAATAAATTAGATGAAGAAGAAAACAAGTGAGGATGATAAATGATAAAGAAGTCCCTTCTTTCTCTCTCTATAGACCTTGTAACCCTTTTTATGACAAGTGGGGTTATCTTTTCACTGCAGTCTTCCTTGTCCTTTATTTGCCCACTACTCCAGTCTTTGTCATGAACCTTGAAAAATTGGCAGATAGATAGCAGAGCAATGGGGAGAAAAAAGAGGGGTTTGGTGGGTTATTATTAAGACCCGTGTGCGTGAGAATCAGTGGCTTTGATAAAAACACACAGACTCTGCTATCAGCAATGGCAGTTTGCAATATTTCCTTTAGTGGGCGTTTCGTACATCGACTTTTTTTTGGATTTTCGAAAAATTGGTACTGTGAATTGTACAGGAAAAATGTTTGTTATTATTTTAAATAACCTAAAGTTACGTGTTTTTAAGAGAGATAGATACAAAATAATTTTTTTATTTAAAATTTAAATTAAAAAAAATCACTCATTTTTTCTCTCTCGTGATTTTCATTTTTTGTATCTATCTCTCTCCTAAAATGACATAACTTATGTTAATTAAAATGACAAATACCAAATCCAAATTTTATTTACCCATAATATTTGGTAAAAGATTTTTGAAAATTTTTCAAGTAAATTTAATTTTATCATTATTCTAATTTATGAATAAATTATGGATTTTATTAATCTCATTTAACATAAGATAATTATCTTAGGTTATAAAGAGAAAATAGGTGGGTCCCACCATTACAAGAAAAAAAAAAGATAGGGTACGAAAATCGAAGTGAAAGAACATGATAAAAGATATCTTATGTAAAAGGAGAGTAATATTTTTCATAAATTATATAGCAAAATGACATCTAAAAATATTATAAGGAGAGTGATATTCTTAAAATTTTGGGTGTCATTAAAATTTGACATTTTCAATAATATTTAAAAATCAACCAAATATAAAATTAATAAGTTTGAACCAATATTTTCATTAATATTTTTACCTATTAAATAGTTTTTTGCCCATATTTCTGAGAAAATTACTTTCTCAACATATTTTTGATAATGATGACTTTTTGAAGAAATTTTTTTTTCTCCTCTAACTACCGAACATCATTTTACTCTATCTGGGTTGCGCGTGAGTGCATGACAATGGAAAATGTTTTCAGTTCTAAAAAATGCACTGATCACTTTCCATCATTTTTATGGTCTTTTTTCTATATCTCAATTATTTTTTTCCTTTTCGGTAGGTGAACTAATGAATTTCTTATTTAATCGGTTGATGGGAATACAAATAAATAAATATGAATTAATATTTAATTTTACAAAGTTATATTATAATTCAAATAAATTCATAACAAGTAACGTAGTATAATAAGCCCAAAAAAAGTAAAAAATACAAGTTCACACCACACAACTAAACAAAAGTTTACAAATTGTAACTATAATAATAATAATAATAATAATAATAAATTATCATTATTACTGCTGTTGTGTTTGCTAAAGTCAAAATCGAATCACATTGAAATTCTTTTTTTTTTTTTTTTTATGGTAAACGCGTTGTTTTGTGTTTTTTATTAAATAATAATTTGAGTACAATCAAACTCCTGCTGAATCATCGGGTTTTGCTTTTACCAAATTCAGCCAAGTCAAATAAGATCGCACTCATTTTATATGCAAGACTAATCCAAATATATAGTTGCAGTCGCAGACAGGTTACTTTGCTAGTTAATGGTTAAATTAATCAGTCCAAATAACATAGCATATTCTTACAAACTATGCTTTTAATAATGATACATACATTTATTTATACATACATTATCTCGTATTTTTATCATTTAATAACAATTTATTTTATTTATTTACACGCTTATATTTTAATTTATCGCTTCACGCAATGTTTAAGTGATGTGTTTTGCGCTGATACGATATGCGTAATGCATTATTAAGTATTTTTTTTATCTACACAAAAATTTACAGTGAGTAAAAATTGTGTCAACATATTTATTTTATATTTAAATGAAATAAATCCCAACACAATATTTATACGGCAGACAAAAAAAAAAATGAATTTAGCTATTGACTTTTGACTATTGTTGTAACACCCCGTTCTAGAACCGGTTTGTTAACATCGCATTATGACATTAAGTGCAATTACAATCACGTTGTTTCCATTAGAAATTCGGATAAATTTTTCTTTTTGAACAAAGTCGAATTTAAAATGCCCAATTGTGTGATCAAAATCATATTACGTTGCGGAACAAAATAAATTAAGCTTAACATCATATTATCATTTGGTTCGAGTTCACTACCAAACTCTCTTCACCCTAGGTTATAGATCTCTTTATTAGCTACGCGTGGGTTCAAACCGCACCCAATTTGGAGCTCCGTAGCTCAAGTTATGCCAATTTTACTAAATTGTGTGTATGCTGAAAACGGGCTGCGCTTAAGCGCCCTCCACGACCCAGTTTTTCGTATGGCAGAGCGCTTCAGCGCGCTCCAGCGAGCTTAAGCGCCCAAAGGCAGAGGGAAATGGGATTTTTAGGCCACCGATGGCGCTTAAGCGCGCTCCAGGGCGCTAAAGCGCCCACCGACAGAGAGTTTTTGGCCTTCACAGGTGCATCAGGGCGCTTAAGCCCCCTGAACGAGGTTAAGCCTCCATTTTCAGGCTTCCCTCCACAGGGCAATTTGGCCTCCATTGGCATTTCATCCATAACTGTAGTTATACTACTCATATTTGCACAATCTTGGTCTCATTGGAAAGCTAAGAAGAAGATCTACAACTCCCATTAAGACACAATGGTCCAAATCAATCATATAGGATATGAGAATGGACAAAACAACAGGATATCTTTGCTTTTATTTGGATTTTCCAACTACGAGTCTTCTTTCACCTAATTGATATCATGCAATCCTTTCAATAAGTGATTCCTAGTTCTTTCTAGGTACTCATACACTAAGAGAAACATGCATACCCTTTCATCATATAGGTATATATCCAATAATACAACATTACATCATTGCAACATGTCTTAATTACAAATCATGAGACTTAGCTACAAACCACTATGATCAACTCCTTGGCTCCCATCAACAAAAGAGATACCAAAGGAGATGAGCATAGGCTAAGTCCCTCCAAATAAAACATGACATACATATAGCAATTAGCTTTCAAATGTAAATCCTATACTTGGTACTACTACATGTCATGTATAATCCAAAAGAATGCAACATCTTCATGTATCTATTAATCCAAATATGACCACTTGCCACCAGAGGCTTCTGCAGCATCCTTACCTGAAAGGGGGTCCCCACAACACGGGGTGAGATATACGAATATATCACAGTAAACCAGGGGTCCTTGGAGCATCTCTCCACCCCATAGTTCAATAGCAGTCTAATAACAATAACAATAATAATGCAATAAATACATATCCATGCAGTGTGTCACAAACATCTCCAGGAGAAATTCCTCGAGCTCTCAAGCTGTCCTAAGGATACTCAGATGCAAATAGTCCTACTGGTCAGCTAAACTACCAAGTATGAATTATGCATCGTCATGCAACATACCAACATAGGGAAACATCATCCTATGCCACACCAAATGCATATACATACGTATAACAAAGCATTAAACTATTTCATTGCATTTATATACACTATCACAACCACTACCCATTCAGGGCTTGGTGGAACAATCAAGGGAATTACACCCAAGGTTCGAAGGCTTACCTCAAAGCTTCAGTTCAACCTTTGTTCACCAACAAGTTCTGCCACCAATTACAATAATCAACTTCACACACAACCACCTACACAATGTGTAATGCAATCAAAACATTGCATTCAAGAGTATCTTATAATCATCAACCAAACTATCCAATTCATGCTACAACAAAATCATGGACTTACCTATTCCAATGAGTTAATCAAGCTCTATAGCTTCCTCCAATGGTTGGTCACTCAAGGGTGGTCCAATTGCCTCAATCCTAGCCATCACATGGAACACAATCAATATCCCACCAAACCAACCCATTGTTTACCAATGCAAGCAAATCCACAATCAAGTATATAATATTGCAATTTTCAAAGCATAATCATATGACCATCTAAACTCATTTTCACCGATTAAATGTCATTCCTAGCATTTTCCACAACATACACCAAGCCTCATTCCTCCCAGAATATAGTCAATCTACTCACATTATCATAAAACCCTAACAATACTATTCACCATAACCTAAACTCATGAAAATCTCAAGGAATCAGGTGAAAGAGAGTGGAAACTTACCACAAATGATCACACAACAATGGGATGGGTGTTCCTCAAGCTCCCATGGAGGTAAAAGCTACCAAACCCCTCCACTTTTCATATGGTTCGAAATTTTGGAGGGTAAAATCTCTCTCCACAAAGCCTCTCACTCAAAACCAAGCTTGGATTATGAAAGAGGAGAAGATTTGGAGTGATTTAGGCTTTGGAATCACTCAAAATGGTGGAGGATTGAAGGATCTAGGGTTTGGGCTTCAATGATGTCTTCTCCCTTTCTCCTTGCTTCATGTGGCTCGACGGATTGTGAGAAAAAGAAATGGTTTCTTTTTGCTTTGAGTCACTTAACTTATGTTAAATGGCTTTAAGCGGGTATTAGCTCATCTATCTATTCGACTCCATTAACCACCAAACTTTACCCAAAGGTCTGGAATATATTTTTAGGAATATTTTCACTTCCATTTTTATATTTTGGGTACTTTTGCCTACACCCATTTATACCCCTTAATTTTCACTGAGTACACTTTTTACCTCAAAAGTGACCCCAATTCACTTAATTAGGCCATATACTTAA